AGAAGTATCCTCTAGACCAGGAGTGGGGAACGTCCAGCCCTCAGGCCATATAACGCTCAGGAAATCATTTGGTCTGGCCTTGCCAAGGCATTAGGGGAGAGTTAATTATATGTTTGACCAAATATAGCCACCTAATTTTTAAGTTGATAATTTTGTATGGCCTGTGAATGATGTTATAAATATCCAAATGGCCCTTGGCAGAAAAGAGGTTCCCCACCCTTTTTTTATCCTCAGTGTCTCAAGGCCTTGGATAATTTCTGTCATTTAATTTTGGATAATTGATGTACAGTTGCCCAAAGAAACCAATCCGCCACACACACAAATTGAGGAGTTCCAAAATTGCAAACCATTTTTTAAGTTAATTATGTTAATTTTTAGAAAACATAAATATAGAAATAGTATAAATAAAATTAAGTCAAATTATGCAACGCACTTTGATTACAGAAGAAGGCATTGAAAAATATGTAACCTAAATCTTCTGTGACTTTTCTGTCTCTAATAGTATATTTTTTAAAAGTTTATAAGTAGTGAATCTAAGCAAAATGGAAGATACAAAATGAGAACATTTTTTGTTGTAATTTTACAAACATTTTATACATTTTATACTTCCTAAATGAATGGCATTAGTCCTAACATAAGTGAGATTCATTAAGAGAACAAGCCCCTTATTTATTTAAATAAGACAAAGTCTCAGTATCACTCTATGAGTCTAAAAGGCTTCCTCTTAAAATTATGCCCCACATGTAATATCCTTCTTCCTCGTGAAAGTTTTTATTTCCATCTTCTTCCAAAGTGTCTGACCTAGTGTTGGAGAACTTGGGAGCAGCATCGAACCATCGGAAGGTATTTTAGTTAAGAGTCTTCAGAATATGCCGTGGGGACTGTTAGTGCTACCAAGACAGACCAGTCTAGAACCAGTGTGTAACGTTGGGTGAGACAAAATAATTCTTTTCAAATGGTAACCATAGTCCATTTCTGTAAAACCAATACTTTGTCCATAAATAAGCCTAAGGGGCATTATCAATGTGTCCGGAGCTCTGCGTGACTGATTTGTGCTGGCTCTATCATAAAAGCAGACAGAAGGCACAGGGCTGCTTCCCTATGGAATCGTGGTGGTAAATTGCCATATGTATCCCCGTTAGGAGCCTAGTTTATTTGGTTGTGGATGTAACAACTCTACAGACTGAACTTTTGGTCTCTTGAGATCTCCATGTCTTTATGTGAAGTCTGATAACACAGCACCTTGCTCTCCTGCCTCCAGCACAGACTGTGGGAGGGGATCAGAACTGTGGCCAGCAGTCTTTCCTGGTGCTAAATTAAATACGTCTTTCCCAGAATTGTTACCGTTCCGTAGTATGGCTACAAGTGCATTTGTTTTAACCTAAAGGTAAGGAAGGAGTGCCAGGGCTGTATTACATGCCATGAAGGCTGAGACAGCAAATCTTCTCTGAAAGGGAGAATCCCAGGTCCATTTTCCTGTTGAAATATTCTAGCAGCCCTGGCTGAGCGGCTCAGTTAGTTGGGGCATCATCTCAGGCACCAAAAGTTTGTGGGCTCGATCCCCGGTCCAGGCTCTTACGGGAGGAAACTGATGGATGTTTCTCACATTGATGTCTCTCTCTCTCTCTCTTTCTCTCTCTTCCTTGCTCTCTCTCTAAAATCAATAAAAAAGAATATTCTTCAGTGAGGAATATATATATATATTCCAGCAAACTTCCTGAGAGAAACAAATATGAGGGTGTGAAAAACAGTAACTTTAACGCTCCTGTGACCATGCCAGTCAGCGCCCATGATTCTCCAGCTTGGGGAAGTATTGGAAAGCTCATCAGGTAAACAAAAGCAAAAGGTTTAGTGAGGCAAGCGGCACCGTTTTCAAACTCTTGGGTTCATCCTCTGTATGCCCTCAGGCTCAAGGTGTAAGGCAGACCTAAGCAACGTACCTGTGCCATGATACTTTGCATAACTTTTCTACCTGTCATTCATATGTTCAACAAATATTTTTGCAATGTCTACCTTATGCCACACACCACTACAAATCAGGTAATGATAAAGTAGACAAGATATTGCTTTTGTGAAACATACTATTTGTGGAGGAGGTAAACATTAAATAAATAACAATGCAATTGTAACATCTTTTTTTCCTTAATTGTAACATCTTTTAAATTTAGAGTTTGACAGTGAGAGGCCAGTTCATTTTGCCATTTTGCTTCTGAATTCTTTTGAATCATAATCTCATAAATCAAAATATATTCCATCAATTTACCTACAGTTAGCTTTTCTGATAGCATATATCTGCAGAGTCATAAAGAGCTCATTAAAAAAATACATAGCAGCCTCATCATTGTTTAATATCAGGATTGAACCTCATATTGGGAATTTGGGTTACTTAATATCTAGTGTCAAATGAGAGTTTGGACTCAACCATTTGCTATAACTAAATGCTCATATTTTTCTTCCCATTTTCTTCAACAAATAAGTCTTTAAATAGTGATAATGGATCTATTTTTGTAATGGCCCTTTGCATAATGGGGTGGGATAGAGTTTTCTGTGTCTTCGACATTACATTTTACTAGTCTGACAAGGACTTCAGTTACATCAACAGCTGCACAAAAAGTAAGGTCTTTTGCAAGCATGAGGCACCCACAGATTACTTCAAATATCATCTTGCATTGGCCTTCGCATGTCCTGTTAGTTCAAGCCCTAAAAATAAACACCTGTTAATTAGCTAATGGCAACATGGGTGGAACAGCTCTCTGACTGCAGGGACCTCCATCTAACCTCATTCGGTAGTGT